GTGTGAACGAAAATCCAGTTACCAGCATTAACGTGGCTGCAATCCCAGTTAGGGCAAGAGTGCCGTTAAGGTGGCCATTGTACCAGTAAGCCCAGTTTCTGACTTCAGGGAGTTCAAAAGACCACAGACTGCCAAAGACTCGGCACCGAGTGATATTGGGAACACGGTGAGTATGTCAGCCTGGCCCTCTAAAGCAATGATGTTTAGGTAATGGTTTTTTCTACAGCTTGGTTCTCTGCCAGGCCCTCCTCTTTCTCCAATTGTTTTTGGATTCATTTGTCCATTTCAGCCTGGTTTCTACAGAAGTGTAGAAATGCCAGGTCCCTGTGGTGAGCTGAAGCCCCAGGTTCCAAAGAGCTTTGTGACACCTCACAAGTGGGTGTACAAGGAAGAGACAAATCAGTAGCAGTTGTTGTGGTATGGGCCACGAGACAGTAAGGTCATAGGAAATCAAATGCTCTTAGTTCTCTTGCTTACAAAACAACTTGTGTTCTTGTGGGGAACAGGCTAGACTCCTTTTGTACTGCTGATTCTCTTGTGTTTTCAAATAGTCATAACAATTCATTTAAAACCGCTTCAACAATATGGCTTAAATACATCTGATCCAGACAAGAGTTAAGGTAATTAGCTGACATTTGATTTTACTTGATATGGATCCAAACCATGGAACTTTGAACACCCTTAGAGTTCAGAAGTGTTTCGTTCAGTGTTTGGGTACTAGTCTGTGTTCTCAAGTAACCTTTTCAAACTTGGCAAATTTAATCCCAGATTTAAAATAAAAAAACAACATAGGGAATCAAGGCTGTATTTTTTCTTAAAGTATAGAGATGCTCTAGAGTATAGTTGTAGAAGCAGCAAAAAAAAGGAAGAGAAAACGTGTTTTATGTATAAAGGTGTGAGTTTGTGTTTACGTGTTGTGTTCACATGCGCGTGCAGGCTTATGGATCTGTACAAAACATCGCTGCTGCTCCAAGGACCCGACAATCGGAACAGACAGCCAGGGCAATCATGCGCTTTGAGACCCAGAGGATGGTGCTAACTTAGAGCATGTGTGCATTTCCCGTTTTATGATGTGACGACAGCAGCACTCTGACACTGGTTAACATTTGTGGGCCTTGTGGAAGGAGCGAGTTTCCATGAGGGATTTGGCTGGAGGAAGCCTGCCTGCCTGGCACACGGGGTTGAGGAGCGCGTTCCAGCCAGGGTCAAAAGAGAGATGTGAGAACTGAGAGCAGCGTGATGTTTTACATTGCGTACCGCATTGCAGCTGGTAACTTGGAACGCCATTGACCATGTTTTGTAAGCTTGTTATTTTTCCTTACAGTCTAACACAGAAGGAAAAAGAAGAGGTTATGAAGAAATTAGAAAGGAAGCGTATAGATGTTTCTGCTGAGCACAGAGGCGTTCCCTTCCTCCTTCAAAGAGCAATTATATGAGAATTGAAAAAGCTGTATGTGATAAGAATATGTTGTACTTGCTGTGTTAAGAAACGCAGATGAAAAGGGAAGACTTTGAAGCGGGGGGGATTTTGTAGGATTTAATTATAGCCTGTGTACATAGAGGCAAAGAAAGTTCAGTTGGTATCTACAAGATGGCATGCCTATGTGACACCAAACCAGTGCTCCAGTATTTGATTTCTTAAAGTACATGTTCAGTGTCCAAGTAATGTAGTAGCAGAGCATATCATGGTTTTCTCTGCTTTGGGAGAAGTTGAACTGACAGAAAGGTCCAGAAATCAGTATGCTTCCCGTGAAGTGTGGAAAGGAATATAAGCAACAGCAAAGTGGAAGAACACTGATTCTGTGATACACACTTCACAACTTGTACTTGGGGAGAGTAACATGTGGATAGTCATAGACAAAGGAAAGTTGGACAGTAGAGTCAAACTGAGGCACGTTTGTAGCCAAGAAGTCTGAATTTTAATGAAGGTCAATGAGGGAAGGTGGGCATGAGACCTACATGGACACTACAGATGTATCTGCTCAAGAGCATAATCCCTGCTCCCCAAAGCACACTATTGAGCATAGTAACCTTTAGCTATCCCCATGCTGGTCATCTGTTGGCCTGGCCCTAAGTCATAATCAGACATATCCTTCTCACTGTTGAAAGTTTCTGAAATAATGCAAGGCTTGTACAATGTGCTCGGATCAGGTTTTTTTGTGACAGATGTTACATGTTGGGTGGTGTGGGTGTAAGGGGTACCCCTAATGAGAAGGGTACCCAGGTGTAAGGGTTTAGTCCTGCTCCAGAGTGCTAGAAAAGGGCACGAGGACTATGTGGCAGAGTGGTGAAGTCTTGTTCATGTTGCCTACTTGGAAGATTCCTTGGAGCAGACCATCCCAGGGGCATGTATGGGTGGTTATGTTTTTGGAAGGAGCTAGGTCACTCCAGAGAAGTGCATAGGGCTGGAGCAATAGCTACATATGGTAGACAGTCAAGGCTGACACTTGGAGTGAACTGGGGAGCTGGGTTATTTGATGTCAATATTGTGTAGCTGCTCAAGAGGGATATAGAGAAAAAAATAAATCCTTGATTTGGGAAGAAACTACATGCTGTATATGAGATCCTGACCATGTGAGTCAAGCTCCAAAGAACATTGAGTGATGAATAAATTCAGGCATCTCATGTTTACTTTTACTTTGTTCCTTTTAATTCTTTTGTTAAAGTATGGGCTTCTCTGAGGAACCTTGAACAAGCTGGAGGTACAAATTTACCGAGAGTGAGATGCAAGGAGACTAAAAGGTGATCGGGACGTCTACAGGATTGCCACCACGTGTTAAGCAACAATTGCTTTGGAGTACATGATCACCTGTTGTTTGATGCGTTTCCACATAGGCAATCCCTGCTGATAGTGAGATGAGGGATGCATCCAGACCTAGCTCATCATCTTTTGTTTCTCTTCTTGTATGTCTTTGAAGATGTGGATTGTGAATGAGAATAGTTGCAAGATGAACTGTAGGAGAAGTTCATATCTGAAGTCTTGTGGACAACAGGCGATGGGAACCAGTTTAGGAGTATAAGGCAGTTGGTCTGGTAGGGTGTGTCATTGCAACGGGGTTAACAGCCAAAGAATCATACATACACTGTAGAGGGTAAGGATGCTGTTGCCATTAAGAGGATCTCACCAGGTGAGTGTGGTGCCAGAGGACTCCTACACTCAGAAGTGTCCCATTGGCTGAGCTATTTTACACCGGATTGATTGGCTTCTCGTCCTGCCTGCCACCCACTAGGATTATTTTGTACAAGATCAGAGTTTGATGCTCTCATGCTGAACTTGGAGAGACGTGTGTGGGGGACGGGAGCAGAGAGGGAGTGAGAATGTGGTGTGCAGATGTGTGAAGGTGAGAGTAAAGCTTATCAGCTACTGGTTCCAGAGGGTGGTGGGTTTTTCCTTTTTTCTCTTCCCAGCTCTGTGGGTGAAGACATCCATTGAACAACCTCAGTTATCCATCCATACAAGATCAAAGTACCCAAGTGCTGTTAGAGTGTGAATACTTTTAAATATTTAAAAATATAACAATTAGAGATAGTCTTTGCCCTTTTGGCCAGCTGCCTTCAGAGTGGCCTCTATTAAAAGCTCTTGAGACCCCAAAGACACTTTCCTTGTGTTGCATAATATTTGTATTTTGTTTCCAGTAAGCCAGGTTTGAACTGGCAAATTTCGGTGAAGTCCTGTAGCCATTTTAATATTTAAACCAGACCTGTTAAGTTATGCTGGTTTCAGGAATGTCTTGAGCCATCCTCCCTCTGCTAACCTGCTGTGCTGACTCAGCGCCTGAGAAGGAGTTGACAGCCCATGGGGATAGGGGAGTGCTCTGCGACTCCACAGCAAGGCAGGGTAGTACAAGCTCATAAGGGCAAAGAGTGCTGCAGCTAAGGTTTGTGTTGCAGGATCAGTCAAGTAATTGAAAAAAAAAAAAAAAGAGAATAGAATTAGTTGAAGGCACAGCAGCTGGTGACCTAAAGCGGTAGCCTGCACTGCACGCCTTCCTTTGGTAGTGTTTGTACATACGGTTTTCAGCCCATTTGGGGTAGAAACTTGTAGAAAAGTTAAAACTACTACTCTCTTTTGGAAGTAATCGTCTTGACATTCTCATTAGAAAGACCAAGAAGAGACTGCAAGACAGATGTTCCAGTGCCCAGAGACCTGTGGGACAGCATGCTTTGCTTGGGCTGTACGTCTACTGGAGAGAGGTCATTACTCTTAATATTGCTCTCTTCACAAGCCAGAAGTTACGTTAGTGTCTTTGAATTTCTATGGACATACCATTCCAGGTGTATATATCAGGGTGCTGAAGTTCTTATATTTTGCTGCTGTTGTGTTCTTATGTGCTCAGCTTCAAACCAGAATTCAGCACCTGGGTTTTACTGGTTTTGTACTGGTGAACTTTGCATAGCTTGGTCTCTGCTTGCCCGTGCTTTTATTTGAAAAGGGTTTAAATTCATTAATCGCCCCACTTACAAATAAAAATACAGAGATTGTGTTTCTTTTTATCCACTTGCCAGTGCAGATGTATGAGAATGGGTGTACTTTCAGAACCTTCCTTTCAAAACTACTTGCAATCATGCGGTAGATAAGTAACACTTTAGAGGGAAGAGGACCTCCAGCCAGAATAATTTCCAAACAAACTTAAAGTGTAATTTATCTTCTTATTTTGCAGCTAGCTATGGACCAAATCCAATTTGCAAAGGCTGCTTATCTTGTTCAAAGGATAATGGGTGCATCAGATGCCAACACAAGTTGTTCTTCTTCCTGCGAAGAGAAGGAATGAGGCAGTATGGTGAATGCTTGGATTCCTGCCCATCAGGGTACTACGGACGCCGAACGCCAGATATGAACAGATGTTCAAGTGAGTTTTTGTTGTGTTTTTTTTTTTTTTTGGAACATTTACATTCGCTTTTATAGGAAGGCCATAATTCATGCTCAGTTTTTAAGATGATATGTTGTGGAACATGATGATATTTGCACAGGTGTCTCAAGATCATCAAACTTTGCTAAAGAACGTCCCAGCTCGTTCCAAGATATGTAACATTCAGCAGATTAAATATTGATGCCTTAACCTAGTTTTTATTGTTATTTTTATTGTTATTATTGCTTTAGTTAGAAGGGAAATTTAGAAAAGAATGTCAATTTAAGCAAATACTCCTAGTTTTAACAAACAAATTCTCATTATATAAAAATCAAAGGATGGAGCATTAGTTTAACAGTGCCTCATATAGGTGCTCGTGAGTATATGCACTGGTATATGGGTGGGCTTCTTGTCATGCTTTTGTTCCCACACGAATTTGAGGTGACCAGACACCTCACACCAGACACGCTTTAACATGGAAGTGTTGCTATTTTAATAAAACAGATGTACTATTAAAAACAAACAAACAACCTTTCACTTTTAGTACTACGTTTTATTTGGAGATTTACAACCTGCTAATGTGCAACAAGATTCCCTGTTTGCGTGTTTGTGCCTAGATGCACAACTGCTAAAACCAGTGGGTGCTCTGGTGTCTCCACACATTGTTTCACCGCTGGCCAGCAGTTGTGCCAATATCGATTTTTCCATATGCTCATATGTGGAGTATTACCCATACGGATTATTAATCATTGCTATTAAATCTAATTTGTATTTAGGGGGTGGAGGGGTGGTTGTGTGTATGTCATAACCTAACCAGAATTAGGTCACCGAACCTAAGAACCTGAAATGAGAAATAGCTTTTTTTGTTGTTGTTGTTTTTTTTGTTGTTGTTGGTTTTTTTGGGGTTTTCTTGGCTTCCTGGAATAATCAAGCATCAATTAAATGCCCGGTGCTCTCCCTCTCAGTACTGCGGCACGTCGCTGGGATGCACCACGTGGTGAGAAAGCGGGTGCTGGCTTTCACATCACCCGGAATCCTGAGACCCGTGTGAGGTCCCTCCGCAGCAGTCCGGGCTGGGAGGGGAGCACTCACAGCTCGGTTTGGACCCATCCCAGCCCATGCCATGCTGTCTTGCCTCTTTCTCCCCATTCCTTGCACGGGTGCTATGGATATGGTGTTCCTCACGTTGTGTTCCCAACTGCTGTGTAATATTGCTGAGTGCTGCCTAATCTGTACCAGGTGGCTAGTTTTTGCTGAAAAATTAAATGAGACCAGTATATGGTTTATGTATCCCATTTGTAAAGTAATTTAGGATCTTGGCCTTAATTTTCATAGCACATTTGTGAATTCAGCAACTCGTCCAGTTTAAACCTTTCGAAACTGGGCTGTAAAAACTTACCCACGTAAAAATGCTTTTTTAAAAATGTAGTACATTTTTGGGAAATAAATGAATTTATCTATATTATCCTGTACTGTGCTTGTGAGATAGGAAAAGTCTTTCTTTACTAACATAAGATGAAAAAAAAAAAAAGTTGCTTGCAGAAGGTGGATGGTGAATTCAATATAACTTTTTTTCATTTTTACCACTTACAGAAAGTGGCCTTTTTCCCTGAATTACAGGATTGGTTTTGAAAAGCAAGTTGTGTCCAACCCATATTGGCATGCGTTGAGCGCTGGATATTTAACTCGCCCTCATGCCTTTTACAGTCTTCCCCTGTGAGAATAATGATGCAGTTGCATTTACTGACCAGTCCTGGTTCCCATCCAAGGATTTTTGTATTCTATATTTTCATTTTAGTGTAACTGCCAACTGGTGTATTTATAAATCACATCTTCGTTTTTGTTCTTGGTTTGGTGATCCTGCATGGCACACACATTGCATTGTGGACACACAGACCTTTTGTGGACTGAAGCTGAGTCAAAATAAACATTCTTAAAAAATAGAATAGGTTTCTTCCTACTTGGTGTTAGATACTTTTAGGTACACTTAGTTACAGATTCCATTGCTCAGATAGTATTATCTCAGCTAAAAATAATAAAAATTCTGGCTATGTTAAAATCCTTCTGGGAGTTACAGAGCTTGAATTACATAAGATGAAATGATTTCTGCCCTATTAATGTCTTTATAGGCACAAAAGCTGTTTAACATTTTATTACTAAAACACTTGCCCATTTTTGTTAGAGAAGCTATAGAACATATTTTTATGGAAAATGTTGACATGATTTTAAAAGCCAAACATAGTTAGTGCCAAATATAACACAATAAATACCACAGCCAAGTGCAGCAGCTCTAAAATGATGGAAATTTTGAATTTCAAGACTAATTTTCTTTTCTACATGTAAGCAGTATGTGTGTCTTGAATTTGCTAAGCGGTTCTAGACTGTTATTCTAGTAACAGTGAATCATGTAATTTTGAGACTGCTTGTCTCTTGAAATCAATGTAGAGTTTCCTGCTGGGGATGATTTTCCTCCTGAGCACTGCAGTAAGGGAATGCAGTACATTTGGACACAAAATTGGAAAGTGTTGAGTCTCTTCCGTAGAAGAATGCTGAAGAGAAGAGCTACATTTTGCTAATTGTCCAAGAAATTTTAACAATTAATGACTCTGAACTGAACTCCTCCAACAAGAAATGATCCCTTGAGAAAAAAACAAAACCGAATTAAAGAGTAAGGTGAAATGTGTCAGTGTGTGGTTGGTTTAACATTGGTTGGATTGATGGCCCAAGCCTATCTTGAGCCTTTCGACTTAGTCTGTATCCGTAGTAACCTCTACAGTTTTAGGGGGAGGAAGCACTCAGAGTTTAGAAATTACAGCTCCCTTCAGCTTTCGGTGGCGGCTCCATCTGTTTAGGTTCACCTTCTCTCTCATAGAAAGGCCCGATGTTCCTAAAACGGTACTTTCCCCTTCCATGCACCTTAAGGAAAAACATGATAAAGGGAAGCTTTTAAACAATCTGAACATTTATTAGATACACCTAGTTAATTCACTGTATTAAGAAAGGTAATGTTTTTTTAAAAACTTTTACAAAGTAGCAAGATATCATTAATATGTAATAGCTCGACGATTTCTTGTGTGGGACAGAAGAGCATATGACCTTCTGAGACTATTGCAGCCAGTGCAGTTGTAGCTGTCAGAGGGTTCAGTTACCACAGGGACAGTACTACTACTTAGTTTAAAGAAAATAATAATTTTTCAGACTTTTTAAAAGTAGTTTTAAATGCTTTTGTGTTTGTTACCTTCAAATATGGCTTTATCTTTTAAAAACAAGTTGAATACAGCATTTGACATTTGGAGAATGAAGTTGGTTGGCCAGAAATTGAGGTCTGCTTATCATTATGTATGGCACAGATACAGGCTGGGCAGAGAATGGCCTGAGAGCAGACCCGAAGAGAAGGACTTACTGGTGGATAAAAAAAATGAATGACCTGGCAATGTGCTCTAGCAGCCCAGAAAGCCAGCTGTGTCCTGGGCTGCATCAAAAGAAGTATGACCAGCAGGCTGAGGGCAGTGTTTCTCCCCCTCTGCTCTCGTGAGACCCACCTGGAGCATTGTGTCCAGCTCTGGAATGATGCCTCAATGGAAAGAAGGAGTTTGACCTTCAAAAGGAAAACGCCGACTCTAGTGAATCATTATCTGTTATTCTGACCTCTTAAACACAAGGGGACACCTCAAGCAGGGACCCAATTTCAGTGCAAAGATCACCAAGCCCTTCAATTTAGGAATGCCACGTTTCTTTCCCCACCTTCAGTCTGCAGCTTCCCTTCACAAAATTGTCTGTCCAAGAAGGTGTTCAGCACAGTTCAGCACAGTTTGTTATGCTGGTGGTTGCTGGTTTCCGCTCATGCAGATCCCCTCACCTGTTCTCGCTTCCCTTTCCCGTCTCAGCTGCTCTTCACCAGTGTCCGTGTTTCATGCAGAGCAGAATGTGCTATGAGTTGGTGTTATTACCATTCCTAGGAACTGACCAGCTGTCTTTTCCATGTGTGTACTACAAAATACCTTTGCTATGAAGATGGATAGTCAGTCGCATTGATTGTGTTTAGAAAGGGACAATGTGACGATGGAAACTCTACAGAATACGGATCTTTTATAAAGGCAAAATAAGGCTTGTGTAAAATTTTCAAGATTATGCATATCAGTAAAATTACGAATGAGTACTTCTTAACAGTTGAGACAGACATCTTTTGAGATTAAACTTCATCATATTGCACTTAGGATGAGAAACTAATATAGTAAACCTTCTTCTTGTTAAAGTGTGTTAAAATATGAAGCACGTGCATCTCAATATGGAGCACTTAATGCTTTATTTGTGCTTTGTTCTGAGTTTCAAAGACATTATATTTCCCTTCAGTTCAGCTTATTCTGCATCACCTTATAGACTGGTGATAAATTTACTATGGAAGGATAGTATTTATTTTGGTAACATCATGCCGTCTGCAGTTATAATACAGAAGGAGGTTGTTTATAGGAGCATATGCTTTTTTTTTTTTTTTTAATGCACCTGACTCTAAATTTAATTCAATATCTGAATTTGTATTTTGAACTCCTAGACTTTTGCTTCTTTCTCTAAAGTCTAAGTCTGTCAATTCTTTAATGCTTGTTTTAAAAGAAGATGAGTAGGAGTGGCTTAGCGTGACTGTCAGGAAGCCAAAGCCAGTCACAAAAATCTTTTAATATCACTGTGGTTCATCTGCTTAAAATATATCTCTAGTTTGGGCATGACTTGTAATCCAGCCTTTCTCCTTTCAGAGTTCGTTAATGCACCCTCTGTGTAGTTTTCTATAAATATTGTAAGTTTCATCCATGTCAATCAGATTTGTTTTTTTTATGATCTTGAAGTAAATGGCAGAGGAACATTTGGGTGGATATAAATGAGATTATAAAGCCTAAATACAAATGTTTTATTGCTGGCTAGCTAAATGCACTTCTTAGAGGTCAGATTGGTTACCCTAACCTTGACTGAAACATGGCTCATAGCTGTTACTTTTTTGAAAAATCTGGTTTATGTGCAAAACCACTTCACAATGAAATTATTTCTGAAGTGCTGTGGGGTTCTGGAGCTCACTGAAAACTAAGGAAAAGGGGATTTGGCTCCTAAGTCCTGCACATAACTTATCTTTGCCACTCTGGTTCAGTAAGCAAAGATGAAAATGTTTTAAATTTCTGTCTTCATATTCTTTTCTGACAATGGCCTTTTCTAAGGGAGATATCATGATCCTTTTTCTCCTCTGTAGAACCAAGGCGTTTGGTCCTTTGGTTTGGTAGGTTTCCCGGCCATTGACTGAGGTGTGGCACAGTATTTATTCATGGAGTGATGTTTCTTTCTTGAGCATATTCTGTAACTGCTCTCAAGCGTGGAGGCACTTTTCTGTACTATAATCTACCCTCGTGCTCGACTGAAATGTCAGTCATTCAAGTTCTTTCTCTTCTCTCAGCCCAAATTAAGAGATTGCACAGTATTGATAATGTGCCACTGCAGAAGTTATGTATCGTGTCCCATGAATCAACATTTCAGAGCTCTGTTGAGGGGATAAGTGATCGTTTCACTTTGTTTTGTCTGAACCCTGAAGATCCTTGAGCAAAGCACTTCTGTCTAATTTCTGCCCAGCTTAGCTCGACCAGACAAAGCAGTGACTTCTCTTCCACCCTTTCCCCTGGGGGGTGAATTCATGGAGCTGTGAGTTTATAACCACTCCTGTGACAGCTTGTGATTGAAAATAGACTTCTAGAAAGTTAACTTCTCTAACTTCTGGAATACTGCTCTTCAAGTCTCCTTTTTCACTTTATAAATATGTATTTACTATGGAAGATTAGACTTCTTTAGGGTTTTAAGTTTTAATTTTGTCCATCAAAGTCATTGTAGTGCGCTCTAGTCTATCTGATGGGATAAGAAAGTGATTGAAGTTGCCTTTGCTGAAGCAATTGGGACCTTTGCCATGGATTTCAGTGAGGTCAGAATGTTCTTCTCTTGTGGGAAGTATGGTGTAACATTTTAAAAAACGTAATCTGTTTAGAAAGAAGCTGTTCTAATCAGACATGCCAGGAGATTTCTCTGGATCTCACAGTGACGTGAGGATGGTACCAGAGGAAGACGCATGGTCTCAGTATGGAGATGGCTTTCAAGGGTGTTTTATACCTTTCAGGATGGAAGCAAATATTTGACTTCCTGACTTTCCCAAGATAGAAACGCTGGAAAGAAAATATGAGATTGTGCCAGAAGAGCTGCAGTAAGAGTGTTATGACGAATCTGGGAGGTTCTGGCTATGTAGAGGACAGTAAAGCCAGTGGAACTTCTGGAGATACGATGCTGAGCAGGAACAGAAAGCACCTGAGGTCTGGTAGGAAGCAGACCCTTGATGAGACACTAAATTGAATACAAGGGAAGGAAGAGGGAGGGACTCACAAGTGTTTCAGCTAACCTACAGATCTCTTGTTGCTAGCGAAATGGCAATAGCAGCAATGGAGCACCCTTTACTTCTTCACTGTCAGGTTCTGAAGATTAGGTTTCCAACCTTGTCGTTGTTGCTCTGCAGGTATGGTAGGCCTGCCAAAGGTATGTGGTTGCTCTTTGGGGTTCTTCTGCATGGCTGAGTTTATCAACCCTTTTTCCCCTCAACACCACTTTATCTTTCCCTGTTCCTCCAATGCTTCCACTTGGATGCTTCCTCTCCTTACTGCTTCTAAAATCTCTGAGGCAGTTACCCTTGTCTATCTGGAAGCCTCTTGTGGGCACCATTTTCTGTTTATTTTTGGAGAAAAGACAAAGCATTTCTGAAGAGTAGTGTGGGTTATGCTGTATCTATTTCTTTCCTCTAAAGATCCACTTGGGTCTAAAATCTTAGCTATGCTCAAGTGTTTTGGTCTTGTTTTCTTTGAGGTTTTTTGGTGTTGTAAACTTCTAGGTAGTCTTCTAAGTGGAATAAAAAAAAGAAAATTTACCCATGAAACATTTAAACAGTATAATAAAATGAAGCTAGGCACCAAAAAGAAGTCTTTCAGGTTTTCTTGGTTTTATAACCAAGTTTGTAATTGGAAATAGACTTCTAGAAAGTTAGCTTTTCTAGCTCTTCTTTAATTTTGTTTCATTTATTTAAATTTTATAAAAATTTCCCTGCAAAACTTAGAGCTGCACTAGCACCTTTCATGATTTGAAACAGTACATGGAGGACATAAAGGAATAGTTGTCAATCCCAGTTGATCTTCAGCTACAGTGTGGTCTGTTAATGAGTTAATTTATCGTTATGATTAGCACCCAGTCCTCCCAAGCATTGTGTTGAGTATCACTCTGGTGAATTAATGTTTTAATTTCAGAATTCTTAAAGTATTCCTAATACTGTTTCAGTGTTGTCCCCTAAATTATGTCTGATACAGACTAAATAATAGGCATTTAATGTTTGGACAAATTTATCTTCGTAGGAAAAAAACTGAAAATAAACTGCTTTGGTGGAAGACTCCACCCAACCTTAACCCAGGATCCCCCTACTAGTGCTGGAAAAATACAACTGTCATAGCAAGGGCTCTGCTGTGATACAAAATACAACTGGCGTGGAAGGCAAAGCAAAATATAGCAATAGGATGGGAATTTTGAAGGATGACCTGGAAGAAGATTGATTCATTTATTTAATGTTTAAATATGCAGTATTCGTATATGTACTGTTAACTAACGAGTTTTATGGAGGATACCCCCAGCTTAAGGTAGAGGAAGGCTTTCACCTGCTAAGTGTTTTTATATGATATCCAAAGGCAACTTGTACAGAAAGTTTTTAATTTAATCCCTCTTCCACTCCAAAAAGTTCAAGCAGAGTCAGCTTCAAACACATTACTCCCCAACATGTTTTGAAAGCAATAGTTAATGCACTGTTTCGAAAATATCCGTGCGTCACTGGGATGTGAGGGAGGGCCACATGATGCTAATTTTTCGTTTAATGTTCTGTGCTGCACCTCATCATTGGACTAAATGATTTGGAAAAACCTTGATGTCTTTTCAAACTGTCTTGTGTGGGTGGGCAAGAGGCAAATGGTTTTTTTGACTATTTAAACACACTGGATGTTTGATCCGAGCATTGCAGTTAATGCAGTACTTGCAGTACATCTGGAGTGTACCAACCCAATTTGCAATTAACTGTTGCACTGCATCCCCAGAGCAGCTCACCTCTCACGGTGTCTTGCAAACACGTTCGTCTGCGGAAGGGATTTTGCGAGGTCGTTGTATGACCATCAACCTCCTGTTCTTTGGAGATGGTTCAAACCTCATGAACAAGACATTGGCTTTCTTGGGGGTTTCCTATGAACTAAACGATGGATAAGAAGCCCAGCGTGTGCTGCTGATATGAACACAAGTTCTGACAGCCCCTTTGAGAGGTGCTGGGCCCTGGAGTGGGTAGCACGCCGACGATGTGTGGCTGTGTCTGAACAGAGCCTGCAGAGCTTCCCGTTGGCAGTGGAGGGCTTCAAACTGATGGTTGCATTCCTTCTAACCCAAGAAAGGTGTACTAGCATTTTAAATATTTTTCTTTCACTTCATGCAATCTACCTAATTTATTGCCCAATGCCACGAGAAATCTGATCTAAAAAGTCTCGTATTTCCCTAACTGCTAACAAAGAAGAATTCCCCAGCACCAGGCAGTTCGGTTGTTCTGGTTTGCCCTATTTTGGCCTGCTGAAGTTCAAGAATAGATACTAAAATCTGTTTTATAGAGGTTGGCTAGATTTGAGGTGTTGTTAGGGGATATTTACCAAGACCTATTTCAGAAATCCTTATGGTTTGTGACCTGTTTTCTTTAGAAAAAAATAAAGAGACAATAAGTCACCAAAAAAGATGAGTACATTATTGTGTGACATGAATACCAAATGCTTCCTGCTGTGACTTCAGATACCTGAAGACAGGATAGAGTTAGTGGAGTTTATATAAATTATGTATGTTCTCTGAAGGATTCGATTTTTTAAAATTAATTTTAAAGTGTTCATTCCTGTTCCAAATGTAATGGCTTTTACTTTTTAGTCTTTGGAACATTTTTTCCCTGGCATTTTTTGTAGGTATGTATGACTGGCTTTCATAAGCTTCCATGTAAGTATTTCTGCTTTTCAGGTGTGCATATGATTGTTGATATCTGCTTCATTTCCAAGCTGCCATGGTTTAGTATGGAACTGGATGTTTCTGAATAGTCTGCTTCTGAGTCTGTAATCTATTGTGGATGAGATTTCTCTTAAAACTTCAGAGAAATCCGGCATTTCAAAAGACAGTGGTTTTGGGCTTTTTTTAACTATGGTTATAGCTTTGTCTTTTAGTAATTTAATAATGGCTATTTTTTATGGATTAACTGTTTTAAAAATAGAGAGGAATTATCTCCAGAAAAATTGGGGCTTTTTGCAGGGTAGTACCTGCATATGTGTAGATACGGACCTCAGACATGAGACATGAAAGCATTCATTCAGCTGTTTGTGGGGTCAGCTCATCGTGCTTGCAATGACAAATAAAAAACTGAAGACAATACATACATACTTCCCAAAATGATTTGTTCCATCATGGTTTCCTCAAAGTTACTTAAACATAAAGATAATTTACATTGAACGTTTCTCCTCTAAGAACATGTAATTAACTCAAATATCACTTAACTAGAGGTTTTATCTACGCTTTTGACTAAAAAAAAGGGTTAAAAGGATGTTGGGGAAAATGTGGTAAATAATTACAGTTAACTGTAATTTCTCTTATAGAGCAGATAGATTTCAGTATGACAGTGTTCCTCATTAGAGCACTTCTGGTTTTGCTGTTTCATTGCTTTAGAAGCCCTTTCATTTTCAGTCTCACCCTAACGTAGCTGTCTTGTTTTTCCTTATGCTCCTTTTGATTCAGGATGCAGAATAGAAAACTGCGACTCCTGCTTCAGCAGAGACTTTTGTACCAAATGCAAAACGGGCTTCTACTCGCACAGGGGCCGCTGCTTCCGAGGGTGCCCCCCTGGATTTGCAGCCTTGGAAGAGCTTATGGAGTGTGTGGGTGAGTCTTTGGGCACAGCAGGTGGACAGGTTCAAGTACTTATGACACTATTTTTCAGCTGATTCTTAGTGTTTTCTATAAAGAAATATTCACTAATGGATTGTGTTGGATCTCTTTACCATAATAATGATAATAATAATAATAATAATGGTAATAATAATAATAGCATTTTTTTCCAACCTCTGCAATATTGCATTATTGAGAACGTCACTCTGTTCTGCACCAAAGTTCTGTCCTCTTGGCTGTAAATGACCTCGCGTGAGGATTTATAGCTCAGAATTGGTAAGATTTCAGGAAGGGCAGTTTTTGCATAGGAACTTTGCCAATGATGTACTCATTAGACTCTTGCCCTCATAAAATTACCGGCTCATGTGCCTTTACCCAAGGCCAGAAGCCAGGGGCAGGGCAGGGGGAATTCTTGTAGCATCCGAGTTTCAAAATCACTTTTAGTTTCTCTGCAGCTCCTCCCTTTTCCATTAGCAAGTAACAGTGTTTTTAGTAGAAATTTAGTTTATAGCATTGGCAGTTCACACAATATTTCTCAAGTCTCAGTTTGGTGTTTTGTCCTGAAGCCTGGGAACTGTGCCAGAACACACTCTGCATGTCATGATGGAGAGCTTGTAGCATCCGAGTTTCAAAATCACTTTTAGTTTCTCTGCAGCTCCTCCCTTTTCCATTAGCAAGTAACAGTGTTTTTAGTAGAAATTTAGTTTATAGCATTGGCAGTTCACACAATATTTCTCAAGTCTCAGTTTGGTGTTTTGTCCTGAAGCCTGGGAACTGTGCCAGAACACACTCTGCATGTCATGATGGAGAGGACCTGGAAATGTGAACTGTTGAGCTTTGCAAATCCAGGTGACAACCAAACAGGATTTATTTATTAAAAAGAGAAAAATTTAAATCAATCTCATGATTTTAGGAGGATTTTTGGATATTTAGGACTGACACAATATCTGTACATACGGATTGATAGTCTGATGGTTTGATGTTCAGGTTGGTGCCAGCTAAAAAGATTCTTTCTGGTGCTGTAAGAGTTTGTTTTGTTTCTAAGTTTTTGCCTGTTAACAGTAAAACTTTCAAGAGGTGCTTTCTAATAGTGTATTCTAGTTTTGGAAAAAAAAAAAAAAAGAAAACAAAGAAAAATCCCATAAGATTTGCTTACTTGTGTTTTCTTTTGCTTTACCAGAAGGCTGTGAAGTGGGTCAGTGGAGTGAGTGGGGAACTTGCAGCAGAAACAACAAAACATGTGGATTTAAGTGGGGCCTGGAAACAAGAACAAGACAAATTGTGAAGAAGCCGGCGAAAGACACGATACCGTGCCCAACCATAGCAGAATCCAGACGGTGTAAAATGGCCATGAGGCATTGTCCGGGAGGTACGTGTAATCCATGCCTCAAAAATCTTTGAGCTTTTCTTAGCTGAAATCCCATTTCTAACTCGATAAGAAGAGCTATTTCATCCCAGCTGAAGGGGAGATGCTGTCTCTGCTCTGCCAGCCGAGGCTGAAGGGCAGCAGTACTGCAGGAGCAGCCCTGGTTTGTGCAGCAAGACCCCAGGGAAAGGCTCAGCGAGGGAGTGATCGGTCTTTCAGTGGGCTGTGAAACTGAGTTTTTCCTGGTGTGGGACTGAGGCTTTTTCAAAGAAGTGTCTTGTGGAAGAACCATTGAGCTTCAGCATGAAAACCATAGTGATGGTGGAATAGCGAATTGCTCTGCACGTGGCAGGAGAGATTGTGATTCCAGACCTCTCTGCAGGCGGCGCACGCAGTGCTGCTGTGATAGGTTTTACATTAAATGAAGTTAGTTACACATGGCATTAGTAGCTGTAACTATGAACTGGAATGTGTTACTTGTTCTGAATATTGTTGATCAGGGCTAAACTCTGATAGATGTGATGCAAGCAGAACGGTGATAGGTATCAAGCTTTTCAGCATGGGACCAGCTTATGGCAATTACCACAAGTAGGTAAGAGAAATAATCAAAATTCTTTATTATGGTGTTCTAAGACTTAAGTAGTGATGCTGATTGGAAAATGTAAATGGAGTTTTAAATTTGTGTTCGGTTTTGTAGACCCCAAAGTGGAGACACATCACCAGTAGAGAGGAGTTTTTGTGATCAAATGATTAACCTTCCACTTGTGCAGACTGGACACTTACAGAGTTTTCAGAATTTGTAGGAGAGGTGGGGGATCAACAGGTGATAAAGATGTGCCATTCCTTTTGGAATCATAGGATTAAAGAAAGATTTAGGCTTGAAGGGACTTGAAGAGATCTGTAGTAAGCTCGCTCAACTATGAGATCAAACAAATAAAAAGGAGTAAAAGGTTGCAGAATCCTGAGAAAAGCCATAACCTGATGAATAAGCTAAAACTGAAATAATCTTAGAATAGGTCCATAAATAAGCTTGCTTTGTTTTCTGGGATTGTTGAATATGTCTCTCTTGGCTTGAACATACTGCCCACCAGCATGTGTGAAAATTATCCATGAAGTTGCAGTTTGCAGATTAAATCTGTGCAAGGTTCTCTAGGACCTGACACAAGCTGGAAGAGAATATGAAGTTGATTCTCTGTTGTCTGGGTTAACTGAGGCTGTTATGCACTCTTCCTCCCTGTCCTGCTCCCTACTCATACAGATGTGCACGTGCACATAGTGCATGGTCCTAGGGATACTGGGGTGCATCGTACAGCACAGGGCATCCTCACTCTAAATAAACTTCTCGATGACACTGAGGAGTGGGACCTACCAAATGAACAGCTCTATAGGAAGGAAGAAGAAAAGGTAAAAATGCAGGTGGATTTGGCTCCTAAGGTGTGTGTCTCACGGTATCCTTGGACGCGACTCGGCTGCGCCTGCATCGAGGCAGCTGGTTCTTTGCTGACTCACCGGGAAGGAGCAGGAGGCGGAGATGCTGGTTACTGGGAAGCTGGAATTGAGCAGATCCTGGTTGTTAAGGAGGAGAGCCTGTGTTTGTAAAAATATGGTGTTTTCCTAATGTTAGAAATCTTGTAATTGAACTTTCAAACTGAGGAAATAAGAGAAAAATGTGAGGTTAGCCCTATGAGGGGAGTGGAGAACCATAATTCCTGTGAATGTTGGTTGAGAGGCTGTTAATAAATCCTTTCTTCCTAATGTTCTCTGTGCATAAACTCACACAAATGTGTAGGATAAGTATTGGATTATGAGGCTGTGGTGGCTGTAGATTGTGATGGATTAAATTGAGCACAGGAAGTAAGGATATTTTTGGTAGAACAGGGTCAAATAAAGTGCTTACTAATTCTGGTCCACATTACAGAAAAGCTTCCAAAAGAGATTTTTACATTTTCAGAAGAAGTGGAGTTAAATTCAGTTTCCCTACTAAGTACTTTGGTTTCATATTTATCAAGGATTGAGATGTTACCCATCTGGCCATATGGCTGCGGTACAACTCTAGCTGATGAAGAAGAGTTCTTTATCACTTTCCCAGTATTTGCAGAGCTGTAGAGATGCAAACTGGAATGCAAGTGAAAGATGATTTCACTTCTTTGCTACTGAAGCCAGCAACGTAAGAGGATACTCTACTTGGTTTCAAATATGCTGCGCAGTGGTGTTTTCTCATTGTCAGTACTAATTGATTTAACAGTTATTACCAGATGGGAATGTCACATTTGTGTATCTGTTCCTGTTATGTATGTTACCCTGTGGCTTGGGTGGAACATGACTCATACTATGAGAGGTCAGGCTTAGAAGAAGATGATTTGGATTGTTAAGGCCACCTCCTACCCTGGTCTCTTCCTGCTAAGGAATTTTCTTTAACCCCAAAAGAAAGAAAAAAAAAATTTTTTAAAAAAGAGTGATTGTGTTACAAGCAATGGGGAAATTAGCAGGTAGAAATATTCTATGCTTGTTCTCTAGAAATTTTCCCATATATTTATTATAAATATCCTCTTTTTACCTCTTATTTGTACACGTTCCCCGTGTCCACCTCAGTAAATTACTCCTCTTTTGTTTGTACCCTGGAGGTACTTGCAGATTGCTCTCATGTTTCTTATTAAAAGCAAAGCACTCCTCTGCCTCTTTTAGTCTTCCAGCAGACTGCAGTTCTTTGAGTTATCTCATACACGAATATTATTACTCTATTATTTCTAGTGAAAATCATGATGCCATTTCTGAGTGCTTGCTTCAGACATGAAGACAGAGGTGAAGATGGGATGTGTGTCTGCTTAATTTCCTGAGCTTGAAAGAGTGAAGGTAGCAGGACGGGTCAGAAGGCTACAGAGGGAGTGCTGTCCCTGGACCCCATGCCGCTCGATGGGAATTTGGAGGCTTTTTATGCAGTAATCTTTCTTCTTTCCATTGCTACAATAGAATTTAAGACTTCTGGAAGAGCAACAGTAAAAAGACCCAATCAGGCTTTCTGTCCTTATGCTGCAGTTACTTTTCCTTATTAATATTCAAAAATTATGACTGAAAAAAAATTAAAGAATATTTACTTAAATATAGAAAACTAATAAATATGCAAAGCGGCAAAATGCATTTTAACTAAGTAGTGTGAGTTCCTTACATCTGATAAGCTACTAGTGATATGGCAGACAAGAAGTTAATGATCCTAGTTTACAAAAATATTTAAGGTAGGATAAATATTTGGAGTAAAACTGTACATACACTTTGGTGAAGACACTAGCTGTACACTTAAAGTACACTAAACTAGTGTAACTTCTAATAGAAGCCATGTTACAGATATATCTCTAACAGGTAAGTATTTTTTTGTTCTTTAAACATTTAAAATGTAAATGTTTCCTCTGAGAGTGAATGTTTTAAAATTTCTGGCTTTAGCTTGGCAACCTGCAGGATAAAGGGTCAGAAATGTGTCTTCCCTGAAAGTTTGGTGCCAACATTTTTTTTCTTTCAAAACCTGGCAAAGGAAACCAGGATTTCTCTCTTTTGTTAGATTTATTTAGAAGAGGCTAACTGAAGAATTTTTTAGTTGTGCAACCAACAAAGTCACAGAATTATTGACTAATCCAGGCTTGAAGGGACACGGGGTTGTTACATAGTCCAACCTTCTGCTCAAAGGAGGGTCAGACAGGGTGGTCCAGGGCTGTGACTTTTTACTTGTCTTTGTTGAATTTAGTCAGGTTCCTTTCAGCTACAATGAATCTCTTCTTCATAAGTGAGAAATTAAAAAAAAAAAAGCTCAAAATAAATGTAGCAGCAGAGCTCAGTGAGTGTTCTCTGTGATCAGACAGGTGACTATGTTCTTCTGAGGCTTTTGGCTACATTGACTCTGAAGTGCCCCCCATGTGGAAGAGTTTGTAAGCCAGGATGCTTTTGAGATGTTAATTTATACCTTGCACTCGTGGGCACTGTACCTACAAACACCACCTGCCTTTCGACTGCCAGCTCTCTCTAGGTGTGTCTCCTGTTGGTCCTGTTGTGTTGTCACAAGGACAGATAGCCCAAGTGGCCAAGAGTGGCCCAGCAACTGCAGGAACTGTTGCCTTCTCCACAAGGACCGTTGAGCACTGGGATAGATTGGTCTGTAGACTGGGCAGTCACCGTCCTTGGACATTTCCAAGACCTGGCTGGAGAAAGCCCTGACTGATCTGCTTTGAATGGTCTTGGTGCTGCTGAGGGCAGGAGGTCGGACTGGGCGCCAAGCTGGATGGTTCTGTGCTGTGAAAGGCAGAATGTGCTGTGGGTTTAGGCTGAAGGGACACTGGTCTTCCTGTTTGGCCTTTGCAAAAATTCTGGTTTCTTCTGCTCCTGATTAGAGAGGAGCTGGAATGACTGGTTGTAG